TGGGTTTTTCTTGTTTTGTGCCTATAACTTTAATCATATTTACCATCTGTTGTCATTAAATCCCACTGTATTTTTTTATAATGCAATCTGATTGGGTAAAAAGTGAATATTAATTTTCCTCAAACATGGACTTTTACCACATGATGAGTTGACATTCATCATGATGAATTGAAGTCACTCGATTTGAATTGAAGATCCCAAAATTGAAGATGACTTGATTAAAACTCATTTATAAATGATAARGGCTTAGAGTTAAAATCCTAGTATTCATCCAAATCTACAATCCTGCTGCAAAGATTGAACARCGTAAATGGGAGTGACCACATACGCAATTGATCTTTATCACTCATTCCCATGAGATTCAAAAGATRAAAGACCGGCGGCCATGTTGGAGGAATGACCAATGGATGCCAACGAGAAATCCTTTGTTGAAATTCCTCCAAGATGGCCGCTGTGACGTATCCTGAAAACGACGGAATAATACATATTTAGTAATCAGACCTCCTCGAGAGCAAGTGGACTACGAGCTGGACTATGAGTTCRTATATAGAAATAAAGTAAAGTTGTTGTAGTGCTRAGRAGGAGGTTTTTCCGGAAGAAAGAACCTTGGAAATAAAATGGGCGAAAAATTAATTTCCGACCTCGCTGGGATCTATATCTCCAACCTCCTTTGACACCGGCGATTGGCACGTTTGTCAAGTCAAAAATTAATTCACTACGATGGTGAAAGTTGGTTCGAGTGAAAACAACAACAACATCAATTTGAACAAAAAAATATTTGTTATATATGAAAATCAAAGTTGTTACTTTTCACTAGTTGTGAATTTTTGGATAGAACTTTTCGCGGTTAAAACCAAAGCCGGCAACATTTTTGCTATGCAGCCCTTAAATATAAAAGAGTGCCAGGTCATGTCARACTGCGTGATTTTTTGACCAAGCTAATTGCTAAGGGACAATGTTTGGGTTGAGGTCCGATTCTGCGTCGTGTAATTTTACCAACGAAAGGAGTTAATATATAAACCATAGAACAGTGTACTAATGTATTCAACATTTGCCTGAGAATTGAATATAATAATAGTGGGAACTAGCGGTAAACTAGTGTGAGCTGCGCCGGTGTTTCTAAAGAAACAGTTATGTAAAAAGATAAACTTAACACCGTATTATTCTTCAACTTTTAGTAAGTTATTTCACCTACTTTTTTACGGTGTTAAATTTATCTTTTTACACAACTGAATATAATAATAATGATAATGTTTGTTTTCAATATACGTCAAAGCGGCCATTTTGGTTGAACTTCAGCTAACGATTTCCAATTGATATCTACTGTATTCTCATCCAACATGGCCACCGTCCTTTTCTCTTTTGAATCGCATGGAAATGATGATTGAAATCAAGGAATTATACGGATTGGCAAACAAGCTGACATTATGATATGTCCTGCATGTTCACTATTATTGGAGTATATGTCGTCGTTTATACGTTCGCTTCAACGGTTTGATTCTGCAAGTCAATGTCATTTCTTTTCACCACGTTTTCTGTTTATACATGAACTGCATGACAGATTGAGAATCTAGACACTTGAGCCCTCATTCCAGCACTGAAATCGGGCATTCGCAGCGAGTAAATGATAAAGTTTACAAAGGAGTTACCATAGTGAAGTACTTTTAGCATATTAAG